TCCAAAACAAAAGTAATGTACGAAAAAGAATGTGAGACAAATTCTAGACACCAAGATTCAATTTCGGGTACTGTTTTTATTAGGCAACCTTATATAATATGATGCTGAACTTCGATGTTTCATTGATTCTAAGATGCACATTTTTCATTCTTTGAAATGTAGATGCATCTTAAAATCAGTTCTTCGTAAAAGTCATAGAGAAAGTTGTGGTTTCTTGGATTTGCTAAAATACAGTGTTTTGTCTTTTTAACTTTTTGAGATTAACAGCTTGTCTTACTTCATGTGGACTTACTGTTAGGATCAATAGGGCTAATGTTTTCAACAGATTAGATATTTCTTATGTGCTAGATGAGGCATTTTGCTAGGCTCTTTTCATATGTTATCTGTCTTCAGGTGTTAGGATTTTAGCTATATCTATAGTTAGTTATTATTACTGTACTACTTAAGCTTCAGAAAACTCAGTGAGGTGATAGCTTGTTCAGTTTTTATAACTGAAGAGTCTAAGACAGAGAGGGGCTTATGTAATTTAGCAGTATTACTAAATTATAGCACTTTTTCCTATATTGCCTCTTAGTTGTCTTCATTGACAGAGAAAAGCTGAAGTTAAAAGAATCTTCACACCGTTCCATAATTCAGTGGTTCTGTCTGGTTGATTATCTGCTGTTGTTCCTAATCCATCCACATTTCTAGTGTTTACTCCTGGGTCTGCATAGTGCAGTGGTCAGCCAGTGATTGGTCAGACTCTGGGCTCAGATACCTCAATCAATGACCTTTGCTTAAGGATTGGGAGTGCATTTCAAGTTTGGGCGGTCTTTAAATTTTCTGTGGCTTTTGTTTTCCACTGGGCCTTCTCATCTCTGCCCCACATGTGCATGCCTGCTCAGTCAGTCAGGAATGTGTGGGTGTTTAGACCTTCTTTGGAGTCTCCTTGGGTGGATGCACGGATTGCTTATAGAGGCCCCCTATAGCTTCTCATTTTCTAGATCTTCCTATTAAATTTCTGGCTAGTTTCCCAGTCCATTGCTTATCACAAACAGAACTGTAAGTTCAGGCTACTGAACTGCTGGTCTTCCCTGTTCATTTGCCATTGCGCTTACTAGTGTTACAGCATTGCTGAGGTTGCAGTTTTTCCATGCTCCATTTCAAATCAAGCCAGTTCTTTTACAATTACCCACCTCTCCCAAATAGAACAGCTTTGCATACCGAAATGGAGTTGGGGATAAAGGCATCCCTGGGTAAGAATGCCACATATTTCCCTGTTCTTAACCTGAAGTCATTGATTTTTTTATTACCAATTGCTCCCCAATTTGGTTGATTTTCACGGCCCTGAAATTGTTGTTCAACTGTTTTGTCCAGGTTCATTGTTAGATTTTTTGGAGAAAGTTTGCTGAGCTACTTAATTTGCAATGTGAGAAATTCCATCTCTCCTTTAGATTTACTCTTATATTTACTACTTTTTTGGTATTCATTCATTCTTGCAACACAAATGTTCTATCTGGATTCACTTTCCATGTGTCTTAAAGTACATCCTCTAGAATTTTCTTTAATGAGTATGTGCTGGTGTCACATGCACTATTATTTATGAAGAATATTCCACTGCAGGTGGAATTCTAGGTTGTCAGCTGGGTATAGTGGCATATACCTATAGTCCTAGTGACTTGGGAGGCTGAGGCTTGAGGATTGCAGGTTCAAGGTCAGACTCAGCACCTTAGTGAGGCCCTATCTTGAAATAAAAAATAGAAGGACCAGGGATGTGGTTCAGTAGTAAAGTACCTACCTCTGGTTCAACCACCAGTATCCATGAATGAATGAATGAATGTATGAATGAATGAATGAATAAATAAATTCTGTGTTGTCATTTATTTTCAGGACATCGAAAGCAAAACTCCATTGCTTTCTGGCTTCTGTTTTTGCTGTTGAGAAGTCAGTGGTTTATGTGTGATTTCTTTAAAGGTCATTTTCCTGAGGGAGCACTTAGGATTCTATCTTTGTTCTATGTTTTGTTTTTTTCTTTCCCTTTTTGTTACTGGGGATTGAATCCAAGCGTGCTTTGGCACTGAGATATATTGCCAGTCTTTTTTATTTTTTTTAAATTTTGAGACAGGGTCTTGCTAAGTTACTGAAGGTCTTGGTAAGTTGCTGAGGCTGGCCTCAAACTTGAGTCTCCTGTGTCAGCCTCCCAAATTGCTAGGTTTATAGGTGTGTACCACTGCATCCTGCTTGGTGTTCTGTAGTTTCACTTTTCACTTTATATGTCTTCATATGGTTTTACTTTTATTTACCTTACTTAGAATCTGTTGGATATTTTGGTCCTGAGAATTAATGTTTTTTTGCTTTGTTTTGTTTTTATTGATTGGTTGTGGTACTGGCAATTGAATCCAAGGGTGCTTTACCATTGGGCTACATCCTCAGCCCTTTACATTTTTTTTGAGACAGGATCTCACTAATTTGCTGAGGCTGGCCTCAAATTTGTGATCCTCCTGCCTCAGCCTCGTGAGTCTCTGGGATCACAGGCTTTCGTCACTGCACCTGGCTTTTGTTTTTAAATCAGTCTAGGAAATTGATACTATTTCTTCAAGTAGTGCTGTGTCCTCTTTATTTATCCATTTTCTATTTCTAGATTGTGTGTTAAATGCATTTTAGATCTTTTCACTCTATCATGCATGTTTTTAAAAGTTTTCTCCATATTTTTCTTTTCTCTTTGTGCTGCTTTGTGTATAATTACTTACTCAGAGACTTTCTTTCCCCCCATCTTCTTGACTGCACACATTTAACATAGGAGTTTGGTGGGATTTAGTTCTGTTTCACTCATGGACTGAGGGTATACAGCCCTTTCATGGTCCCCACTCAGTGTGGAGAGCGACATCTCTAAGATGTGAGTGGGGCTTGTACTTGGGTGTTGAATTATGTCTTTGTGTCTCTAGAAGACTGCCAGGACCAAAGTCCTAAGTTTATATAGGTCAGCAGTGGCTTGCAGACAAAAGTCTTCCAGACCCCACAGTTCTCTGGGTTTTTGCCTTCTTGGTTTAGATTTTTTTTATTTTTAAAAAATATTTTAGCTAACATTTTTCATTATTTTCAATGGGAAGATTGCCCAACCTGTCATTATCAGAAGTGGTAGGTTCCTTCTATTCACCCCTTGGACAGTATTGTCTTTTATATTTGCCCTCCACATATTTACCATCACCAATGTTCTTCGTTCCTTCTTCTTCTTTTTTTTTTTTTTTTAATATTTTTTTAGTTGTTATTGGACCTTTACTTATTTTTCTGTGGTGCTGAGAATCGAACCCAGTGCCTCACACATGCCAGGCAAGCACTCTACCACTGAGCCACAACTCCAGCCCTTTATATTCCTTCTTGTAAATCCAGGATTCTATCTGGTGTCATTTTTCTTCAGTCTGAAGAACTTCTAGCATTTCTCATGGTATAGGTCGGCATGTTATTTGTAAACCTTAATGGTATCCTCACATTTAAATGAAATTCTGCCCCTATGTAGCAGGACTGCTAAAACAATGATAATGAGATAGAAACTGGGGATCATATAAGTATGGAATCCTGCTGGTCTTAGATTAGAATTCTAAGACAATAACTCCGGGAATGTTCAACCACTGAACTACATTCTAGCCCTTTTAATTTTATTTTTGAGATAAGGTTTTGATAAGTTGCCACGGCTTGCCTTAAACTTGCAATCCTCCTTATTTAGCTTCCCAGATGCTGGGATTACAGGTGTGTGCCACCACAGTTGGCTTGGGATTTAGTTTTTATATAGCCCAATACAAAAATGATTGCAAAATGTGCTTACTGTTTTATCATCATGCCATTTAGCCCTTTTTCTCCCTCTGGGCTTTGGGTTTTCTCCACATCCCCTCCTACTTTGTTCAGGAAAAAACTGCCACAAAGCCAAGAACAGTTACTCTTATGAAGACCTTTTTATTTACTGATTTAAATAATATGAATGTTGCTAATTTAATAAGATTGGTTATGTTTACCTTCATCAATGAAAGCCCAAACATTTACTCTAGAAGAAATGAAAGCAATTGATGCTTCATATTTAGTTTCTTTTGATGTTATTAAAAACCCTTAGAATTTTGACTTTTCAGAGAGTATTTCAACTAACTACATAAAAAGTAATGTTCATTCAGAGCGTAAAGCTGATCTTGTCACTCCTAACTTTAAAATTTCAGTGGCTCAATCTCTTATACAGAGTAGTGTTGGCTCCTTGGCAAAGTATAAAAGATCCTTCTGTTTGTTTAGTCCTTGATTCTCTCTCCATCTTTGTGTCCTTCCACTCCTGCCAACAGTTGTTCTTAGTTCCCTGACCACACTTTGCTATTTCACACCTTTGATACCTGGTGTATCATGTTTCTTTTGCCTGGAATTCCTTATTTTAGTCTGGTAAAACCTGCTTGTTCTTTAAAAGCTGAATTTCACAGCTTCTGATTCTTGCTCTGTTCCTTTAGAGTTTATTATTCCTTCCCATGCTACTGTGTACCTTTTGCATAATTCTGTTATTGAACTTTTTATGAAACAATATGATTATTTTCATTTATTTATTTGACTGCTGGGGATTAAACACAGTGCCTTGCACATGCTAAACAAGTGTTCTATCATTGATTTACATCCCCTGTGATATAATTATGTTAAATAGAGATTTGAACTCCACTGTGAGTTAGAGGCTGTCTGGGTGTATTGTTTATGCTTTGGCTTTTAATAATTATTTATTAAGTGTTGAATAAATGAATGAATTGCCATTTAAAGCCACATTAATGAGACATGGGATTTTATGCTCCTTCTAGAGACTACAATAAGTAAGCAGATAAATTCAGAAGTACCATTATCACCCTCTTTGTATTAATTGGACTATCTCTTGGTTCACTTAAGTTTGCAATTTCATATATTTATGAAATCTTTTGATTTTTAAAACAAAATGATTTGCTACCTAATTGAAATAATTATAAACAAGTTAGAGTTTTAAAGCATGTTTTAATTTCCATGAACAGAATCCAACATGGCGGAGTCTCGATTTTGGAATAATGCCAGACCGTCTTGATACATCTGTTTCTTGCTTTGTGGTGAAGATTTGGGGTGGAAAGGAGGACATCTACCAGCTGTTGATTGAATGGAAAGTCTGTTTGGATGGACTGAAGTACTTGGGTCAGCAGGTAATTTTTAGATTTTAGACTGTGGTTTTCATTTCCAAATTAACCTAACCTTTGTACTGATGCTTCTGTCTCTACATTTTCTGTTATACAGAGAGATCTTTATGATTTTTTACATAGGCTATTGTTTATTTCTGTTCCTTTTATTGTTAGGTTTGAATTGTTGTCTAGTTTAAAAAATATATTTAACTGAAGAAACTTATGCAGAAACACCATAATCTGCTAATTTAAGGGTTTCTTTTTTGTGTGTATGTTTCCAAGAAAGGATATGCTTTCTCACATCATTCTGCTTTTTCTGTCTTATTGGATATTCACCTCTAGAATCTGATGAAAATTAAGTTGAAATAAGAGATATGCCATTATATACCTCTCTTTTGACCAGTGAAGTGGGGTTATTCCAGAAATAAGAAGAGCTACTGTTTATTGAGCACAGGAATGACAAATGCCTGGATTATATACTGCTACCTTTCCTCCATCTTTGCTGTTACCAGTGACTGATGTAGTTTACTGATTCTAGCACTCTCCTTCCGGAGCCTAAAAGTATAGTTGTTTCTAATAGTATTACAGGACACAGCTAGCAATCATAGTTGCATATGAAATGAAACCTGTTTGCCATCCCAGACATAGGTTATCATCATTAAGGTTTGTAGCAGCCTTATGAAGGGAAACTACTCAATATTACACAGATGGGTAGAGCTAGGATTTAAATCCAGGCCTGGATGACTTAATAAATCATTCTCTTTGTGCTATGCTACACTGGTGTATATGTGTGATATTTGGTAACCTTCAGCCCCACTTTAGAATGAGTGCCTTTTTTATTTTGTGACACTTATGGTATTACTATTAGAAGTAACACTAAAATGTTAGTCATAGCGGGCTGGGGATGTGGCTCAAGCGGTAGCGCGCTCGCCTGCCATGTGTGCGGCCCGGGTTCGATCCTCAGCATCACATACAAACAAAGATGTTGTGTCCGCCGAAAACTAAAAAATAAATATTAAAAATTCTCTCTCTTTCTCTCTCTCCCTCCCTCTCTCACTCTATCTTTAAAAAAAAATGTTAGTCATAGATTATTTACAACATCCTTGATTTTTTAAAAAAATATTTATTTAATGTATATGTTCTGGTCTGTTTCTTTTTAAAGAAACAATTTAATCCTGCATTTTTTTTTTCAGATTGAAAAAATTCTCCACCCTCATTTTGCTTACTGTATTTTAACTTAAACATTTTTAATTAAATTATATTTTGTTTTTATAGTGCTGGGGATTGAACCCAGGGCCTTGAGCCTGCTGGGCAGGTGTTCTACCATTGAGCTATATCCCCAGCCCTACAACAGATCTCTTGGACTAACTGAAATTGTATATTTTTAAATTAACATCTCTTCCTGCATAGCCCCTGAAAACCACCATCTACTTACTACTTCTTTGAGTTAAACATATTTAGATTCCATGTACTAGTGAGGCCTTGTTCTTATCATATTCTTATTTATTTTGTGTCTTTCTATAGTGACCCGAGCAGTGCATTTAATATTTATGTTCCTTTCTTAATTCTAATTTCCTACAATTGTTGAATCTTTTTATCTTGTCCTGTTTTAGAGCTGGTCTTTTAAAAATATTTTGAGTGCTGGGGGTTGAACCCAGGACCTTGCACCATAGTAAGCATGTACTTAACCACTGAACTACATCTCCAGACCCTAGGGCTCATCTTAATAAAAACTTGTAAAACAATGACTTTTGGTGTAAGCCCTTTTTCTTCTCTTTTGGTACCAGATATTCTTGTTGCTTTTAGACTGGTACTGAGGCATATACTTTGTTTCTCTTCCCACATGCCACACCTGGCTCTCTCCAGTATGTGCTTATTGCTCATCTGAAAGTATCTACATTTTGTGGAAAATGGTGGTTCTTAACATATTGTTGCAGGTCTATAGTCTGGAATTGAGATTTTTGGCTAACGAAGGTAGTTTTAATCATGTGTTTCTGCTAAGAGCCAAGTATATGATGCATGGCATTTTTGGTCGAAGGGGGATGTTTCAACTCACACGTTCCTTAGGTAATGTTCAAGTTCTCAGCTGAGTTTGTCTCTAATCTACCCTATTTCAGAAAGTCAGCATTTGGGTATCTCCTTAGGAAGTTGGCCATGGAAGGAAGTATGCTGGTGTAATAGAGAACAAAAATAAAGGGAAAATTATGTTTTTTAAAGCCAATTAGAAACTTAATAAAATTGTAGAAAGTAAAAATACCTATGAAATAATTAGGTATAACAAGTAACATACTACTAAAAACCAGATAAAATAGAATTACAAAGTTGTACAAGAAAGTGAGACGTAAGATATATTAGGATAATAGGCAGAATCGGTTAGGTTCATTGTTCTTAGTGTTAAGGATTCAGAGTATAAGACAAGATTTTTTAGGCCACATAAACTGATAATGATGAATACCTTCATCGAGAGCTATGGAAGTGCATAGAAGAAGTATTTAGACCAAATTGGAGAGACTCAGAGAGGGATGACTTCAGAATAAAGTTTTCTTTTTTCCTTAAGCCAGGTGTATTGAGGTATAATGTACATACAATGAATTTATCCTTTTAAAGGGTATGGTGAAGTTGACAATGTAGAGTAATCATCTCCCATAGTGAATAATGCAGTGAACATTTAAGTATAGTTCTTTGTGTTGACATAAATATCTTTCTTTTGGGTAAATTCTGAGGAATGGAATTGCTGAGTCTAATGGTTAAGCACATATCGAAATTTACATGTACTGCCAGATGGTCTCCCAAGTGAATATCACATTCAGCATTCCCATCAGCAATGTGTAATAGTTCCATTTGTTCCCCATCTTTGTTAACACTTCCTACTGTTAGTCTTTTTTAGTCATTCTAATGGTTTAAAGTGATATCATTTTAATTTTAATTTTAATTTGCCTAATGTCAAAAAGGATATTGAGGGCTGGGGATGTGGCTCAAGCTGTAGCCTGCTCACCTGGCACTCATGCGCCCCCGGGTTCCATCCTCAGCACCACATACAAACAAAGATGTTGTGTCCGCTGAAAACTAAAAAATAAATATTCTCTCTCTCTCTCTCTTAAAAAAAAAAAAAAAAGGATATTGAGCATCATACAAGTATAATGCCAGTCTTCTTTTTCTTAACAGTGTCACTCAAAGAGTGTAAGGGTTCTAATCTTTATGAAGTCCAGTGTATCAGTTTTCTTTTGAATTTCATGCTTTTTATGTGTTCTCTAAGATATATTTCCCTAATTCAAGATCACTAAGATTTTCTTTTATTTGTTTGAGGAAATTTCCATTATAAGTTTTACCTTTTAGGACTTTACATTTTCATTCATTTTGAATTAACATTTGTATGACCTACAATGTTCATTGTTTTGCAAATGAATGAACAATTATATAGGAACAATTGTAAAGGGCATTATATTTCTCAATTGAATTATTTTGTCCTTATTTGAAAATATGTATGATAAATCATTTGTAATTGCTTCTGTTTCTGCATAACCTGGTTCGTTGAGCTCTATGTCTATCCTAAGGCCAATACCAAGTCATCTTGATTACTATAGTTATAAAACTAAGTGTATCTTGAATTCATTCACCTAGTTTGAGTTTACCAACTTTTTTGTTTTTTCAGAATTTTTCTGGCTATTCATTATATATATCAGTTGAAAATTAATTTAAATAAAAACAAAAGAAAAATTAATCTGGCTATTCTAGTTTTTTTGCTTTTCTATGTATACTTTAGGATCAGTTTGACAATTTCTACAAAAATCCTGCTGGGAAATTTGTTGGAAAATTTTAAGAAAATCTGGAGAGAATTGACATCTTATTAATATTGAGTCTCTTTCAATCTACAAACATGATATCTCTTCATTTATGAAACTCTTCTTCTTTGATTTGATTCACTAGTGTTTTGTAGTTTCTAGCCTGCAAATCTTGCACATAGTTTGTTAGATTTGCACCTATAGATTCCATATTTTTTGGTAACTTAAATAGGATTCCTTCAACAAATATTCCCATTTCCAATTTTTGTTGCCGGTATAATGAAAGTTTCTGTATTGAGCTCATATACTATAACTGTGCTAAACTCACTTGTAGGTTCAGAACTTTTTTTTTTTTGAGACTCCTTTTTACTGATTGATAAGAACACATTTAATTTCTTCCTTTATAATTTGTATATATTTTTAGTTATTTTTCTTATCATATTTCAGGGAGGCTGCAAGTACAGTGTTGAATACAAGTAGATACCGTGGATATCCTTGTTATTTTTCCTTAAACTTGGGGGAAAACATTTGAGTCTTTCAGTATAATATTAGCTATAATTTTCATAAACACTGGGTTGGTGGTTGAGTTTTGTCAAGACCTTCTTTTCACATTGCTGGTGTAAACCCTGCTTGGTTAAGATGGATTTTCCTTTATATGTACAGTTACAGTTTTATATGTATAAACATGTTGTTGGATTTTTATATATAGTTAGATTCAGTTTGCTAATATTATGTTAGGATTTTTTGTATCTTTATTCATAAGAGTTATTTATGCCTTTCTTGCAGTGTCCTTGTTTGTTTGGTTTGGTATGAGAGTAATGCTGATCTCAGAATGGATTGGAAAGTGTTTACTTCTGTTTTCTGGAGAAATTTTTGTAGATTTGTTGCTATTTATTCCTCTAGTGTTTGACAGAATTTTTCAGTAGAACCATCTATATGTTAATATTTCTTTGTGGGAAAGTTTTAAAGTATGACTTTATTAGATGTGGAGCTATTTGGGCTATGTATGACTATTTTTGTGAGCTTTGATGATTTTTCTTCCAAAAGAGGCTGTGTATCACATCTGGCATTTCAAATTTATTGGTATAAAATTTCCTATGCTGTTACTAAATTCTTTTAATTGTGTAGGGTCTGCAGTGATTCTTTCCACTTTTGTTCTTGCTACTGGTGTCTTCTGTCTTCTTTTCTGCCTGATCACTCTGACTAGATATTCATCAATTTTATTAACTTTTCAGAGATCTAGTGTTTGATTTCATTGATTATTATTTTCAATTCCATTGATTAGTATTTATTATTTTTTTCTTTTGATTGCTTCAGATTTAAGTTGCTCCTCTTTGCTAGTTACTGATCTGAGACTTTAAAAAAAAAATATATATATATTTCTTAGTTATAGATGAACACACTACCTTTATTTTATTTATTTATTTTTATGTGGTGCTGAGGATCGAACCCAGTGCCTCATATGTGGAAGGCAAACGCTCAACCACTGAGCTACAACCCCAGCCCCTTTTCTTTTGCTCTTAAAATAAACATTTAATAAAATTTCTTTTAAGTATTGATTCATTTATATTCCACAGATTTTTATGTTGTGCTTTCATTGAATTCCGAACATTGGCTTTTTTTTTTTCTTTTCATTACCAGGGATTGAATCCAGGCCCAGGCCTCTACTACTGAGCTACACACCAGCTGCCCCATTCCTCTTTTTTTGTTTTTTAAATATTGAGACAGGATCTTTCCTAAAAAATTAAAAACCTTCTAAAATTTGATGTTTTTAGATATACCGGACAGTAGGGTGTATTTTGACATATATATACATGGGTTGCAACCCATTAGAGTTTTGACCCCATTCTTTTGGTTGAACATGATCTAGAGTCACACTGGTCTCACTAAGTAGCATTGGCAGTCTTTGAATTTGTAATCCCTCTGCCTCAGTCTCCCTTGTGTCTGGCATTTCAGGAGTATGCCGTGGCACCCCTTAATCTTTTCTAATTTACCTTTTATTTCTTCTTTGAACCATGGATTAGAGATATGTTATTTGTGGATTTTCCTGATATACTTCTCTTATTGATTTCTACTTTAATTCTGTTGAGTTTAGAGAAAATAGTTTGTATGATTTGAATCCTTTTAAGATTTATTTTGTGGTCCTAAATATTTGGTCTACTTTGGCGCATGTTTCATGAACATATCATGCGTATTCTGTCATCATTGAATGGAATGTTTTTCAGTATCAATTAAATTATGTTGTACCTGAGTAAATTTTGAATATATTAGAATTAACCAGGGGAAGAAAAGATGAGAAGAGGCACAGAAGTATGATGTGATAGAGCATAATCGATTCCTTTTATTTTTAGCTGAGGAAATCTTAGTGGCCTGAGTGCTAATACAACTTGTCCAAAGTTATACATATATTGGAGCTACAAGTGCAATCCACATTTCCTGAATAGCCTTTAAAGTTTATCAGGATGTTTTCACCAGAAGTCTTGAACTAAGCTGGATTTGACTTGGATTTTGATGACAAAGAAGGGGGAATTTGGAAATAGCTTTGTTCAAGGTGGGAATTCAAAGAATTTGTTGATTCTGCTGACATGGACTCTATAGCTTCTAGTTTATGTGTGATGGCAGAAATGCTTGGACTTAGTTTAAGCGGTTAGAACTTGGTTTATCAACAGTAATTTTATAGCCTTTAGTATTGGGGTATCTTTTTACATGCACATAATCACCTGGGGCCTCTTGAAGATCACATGAGCAAGAACCTTAATTTTCTTTAGTATTTAATTGAGAAAACAGAAGTTCAGAGAGATTAAGTGATTTGCCAAAGCTCACACAGTGCTTGGTAGATTTAGGTTGTTATTTGTTCCATGATTCAGACACTGTTTATTATTTATTTTACTACTCTAATCAGCTGTTTTAGAAGGTGTGCTGTTTTTCATAAAGATACCAAAATATGAGGTTGTAGTTAGATTAATAGAATTTTATAGTCCATAGTTTCCCTATTAGGATTCTAATGCTATTATTGAGCCAGTATTCTTTAATGAGTAAAAGAGAGTATGTATTACCCTGTTTGTGTGTGGTGCTAGTGATTGAACCCAGGTTCTTCCCCAAATTAGACAAGTGTAACACCCTCAGCCCCCATATTACACTTTTTATTATCATAGTTTAACAGTCTGCAGTGTACTTACTAGTGTTCAATGTGTTACAGCCTCTTTTGTGACTCATGATTTTTTTCTTAGGAACAAAAGGCTCTTTCTGAGCTTTGCCTAGTTTCTAATGCAATTATTAGATTTTTTTCCCCCAATTACTTCTCATGTCTAACTTCCCAAAATACTTTCACATCCATTTCATTCCAAGTTTTTGACAAGCCTGTAGGACAGAACAAGGAGTATTTTCTGCTTTTGGCTCCTGAGATAATTAAAGCATGTGCCATTAAAATTGATTAAATGCTGTATGTTGGGCAGAGTGTAGGGCACTGGTGCTATCAAGATAAAAAAAAGTCAAGAGTTCTCTCTGAAGAGCTTCTTCTTAGAACTCAGGCCACTTAGTTTTAGCTGCATATCTTTTTAGTGTTAGAATTATTTTTCAGCTAACTAATTATTTTTCAGCATCCATCTGCATGAAGCTTATACTTTGAGAACTTTACTTTCATGCTGGATTTGTTTCTGATCCTATCTCCCCACCTACTCCTTTACTGGTATATATATTTATTTTCTTCTGATATAAAAAATAATTCATGGGGACTGGGGCTGGGGCTCAGTGGTAGAGCGCTTGCCTAGCATGCAGGAGGCCTTAGGTTCCATCTCCAGCACCAAAAAAAAAAGAGAGAGACACACACACACACACACACACACTCACACTCACACACTCACTCAAACATAGTCTGACTAATCAAGATTGCATTTACTTGCTGGGTGAGGTGGTGCACCCTTGTAATCCCAGGGGCTTGGGAGGCCAAGGCAGGAGAATTCAGAGTTCAAAGCCAGCCTCAGCAATTTAGCAAGGCCCTAAGCAACTTAGCAAGCCCTGTCTCAAAATAAAAAGTATAAAGGGCTGGGAATGGGTCTCAGTGGTTAAGCACTCCTGAGATCAATCCCCCATACCAAAAGGAAAATAAAAAGTAATACATATTCTTTTGGACAATTTGGAAAATTTTGAAAATGGTAAAGAAGAAAAAAATTTTAAGATTGTTTAGTTGTTGATAGACCTTTATTTTCTTTACTTAAATGTGGTGCTGAGAATCTAACCCAGTGCCTCACACACGCCAGGCAGATAGATGTTCTTCCACTGAGCCACAGCCACAGCCCAAGAAGAAAATTTTTAAAAAATATGTAATCCTCTGCCCAGCTATAATCATTGTTAACATTTTGATGAATATAATTTTAATCATTTTCCCTGGTATATATGTCTGTAAAACACTTAATATAATTTAAAATTCCCTGTCTTGAAACTGATTTCATAATGCTTTTTGTTTTGCCTTGTAATATGGAAAAACTTCTTGATTACAAATTTTTTATATAAATTATTATAAATTCATGATTGTAGACTTGTCTTTTGGTATTATTGCACTTAGTTCAAAAAAAAAAAAGGATGTAGGTAAATAGGAATGTGCTTTAAAACTTGTTTTAGTAGTAGAGGTTGTTATGGAAGTCAGGTGAATGTTCCCAGGAATGTTCTACTACTGTCTTGGGCTGCTTTGTCTCTCTAGCTAGAGACAGAGATCAATTATTTGGTTCTGGTATCCCTCCTTGTCTTTCTTTCACTTGAACCGTCACTTTCATATTTCACAACAGGAAAAATTATTACTAGTTTTTAAAGTCACACAACTCTTTCTAATAAACTAATTAAATCTATTTGTATATTTCATTGTTGGACACTTTATATTATTTTTAGTTATTTTACATCTCAATTCTTTAGTTTTTTAAAAGTTTTATTCTTCCCACCTTTTAGGTGGAACTGAGTTAGGGTTACACTGTATTGTATGCAGTACCCATCAGTAGTGTCTGAAAAACAGTGATGTGCAGATAGGAACTAAATAGCCTATTAAGACTTTATGGATTGGCTATTAATATCTTTAAATTGTGCTTTTGAAAATAGAAAATAATATTAATCTCAATGTTTTTCTAGGGCTTCATATTTTCAAAGCATTCATATAGACTAACAGGTCTGTTTTCTTTGACATCAGAGCATGTATAGTATGCTTCTGAAATCCTTCAGGAATAGCTATGACACCTCAGAATTGTTTGTGGAAAACATGTGGAATGCCTGTTATCTCAGGTGATGCTTTTATGAGACCTTTGACTAAAGCAGGAAACGCTTCTTTGATCACCTGGTCTTTTGTTAGCTGATTTGTTTTCTGCTGGTTTGTTTAATGTAGCCAGCCTTTTCCTCACCATGGAAGTAGACTGTGTTTTAACTGTCAATTCTCTGATCATGTTAAAACGTGAATGGAATGAGAAGAACTAATTGTGTGTTTTCCTCCTCTCTTAGATTCATGCCCGCAACCAAAATGAAATAATTTTTGGACTAAATGATGGCTACTATGGTGCTCCATTTGAACATAAGGTAAGAGGATTCTCCTGAAGCTTAAGTTTTGTATAGTGCATGTGTGCCTTGCACCTGAGTAGACATAATCCTGTAAAGCTCTGTGTGAATAGAATTGTGTTTTAAGTATCATTGTTAGTTTGTTGTGTAGTGTGGCTTAGGTTGAATGCTCTTGAGAGTGAAAACTTGTTTTGTAAGGCATACATCCACTCCAGTTAATCTTTTCTAAATCCAGATCATATTTTCTTAAAGGAAAACCTAAACTAGCTGTTTTCTCATATTCCACATAATTCGTTGGTGGTTAAGAAAGAATGGTGAGGGGCTGGGGCTGGGGCTCAGTGGCAGAGCACTTGCCTAGCACATATGAGGCACTGGGTTCCATCCTCAGCACTGCATAAAAATAAATTAATAAAATAAAGGCATTGTATTCATCTACAACTAAAAATATTAAAAAGAAGAAAGAATGGTGAATTTTGATTAAATACAGTAGTTTTATTAAAATGTTTCAGAAGTCTTTTCTAACGTTCAGTATGTTTAAGAAGCCAAAAGTTAGTGTTTTTTGTTTGTTTGTTTTTTTAAAATAGTCAACACTATTTCTATGTCTGAAAGCCATTAGAGCAAGGAGAGGGCAGAGAGCCTATATTCACCAAGTATTTACACTCTGGTACTCTGCCAGATAACCCGTGTTCTTTTCCCCACTTAATACTAGCCATGAACAAATATGATGAGTTTTGTCTTCTCCATTTTATAGATTAGGAAACAGATTGTGAGGGATGGACTTAGAATCTAAAAAGGAGCCAAGTTGAGATTTCATGTTATCTGCGTCTAAAACCTGTGCTCTTTCTGTTTTATGGTGTTTTACCTAAAAATTTGGAACTCTATACCTAATTTGCTCTTAGTGATCATGTTGTTTCATAATTCTTGGTTGTCTGAAATGCCATTGCTTAGCACATTCCATTCATTCAGCAGCATTTTATTGAGCACCTATTGTATGTCAGCTACTGTACTCCAAGTGCTAAGAATATAATGGGGAAGCCAGGTGCTATGGTGCACTCTTGTAGTCCAAGCCACACGTCTGAGACAGGAGGGCACTTGAGCCCAGGAGTTCAGGTTAGCTTATTCTACTGCCTCAAGAAAGGCCTTCTTAGGGATTTGACTTTTGAAGCTGTAATCCAGCAAGGGCAGGTTAACATGCCAGAAGGCCATGAGGTAGAAGGGGGCATGGCAAGTCTGAGAGACTGAAGGAGGGTCAGAGTGATGAGGAAAAAATGATGCCAAAAGATTTTACCTAAGAACAGGGGCCTGTATTGAAGGATTTTTAGAGTGGCAGTGTTGTAAATCAGATTTGTGTTTTAATGATTTTACTCTGACTGCAATAAGGATGATTATAGAAGAGGCAAGAATCTATGTGGAAAGACAGTAAGGAGCCTCAGGTAAGAGATGTTGATACTTTAAGATAGGATTATGGTAGAATGAAGAGAACATAGATTTAGGGTTGGGAAGGTGCTAGGAATCCAACCCAGGGCCTTGCTCATGCTAGCAAATGCTCAACCACTGAGCTACACCCCCACTCCAGAAGATAGACTTAGGAAACTTTTAGGATACAAAATCATTACGACTTGATAATAGTTTGAATTTAAGGTAGAAAAAAGATGTCAAGTATGACTTCTGGATTTCTGGCCTGGATGAAGTAATTGGATGGATTAAGGTGCCTCGTACAGAAAGCTAAGGGACACTGAGGAAGACCAGGGTTGGTGGAGGCAGATGGTGAGTTAAGACACCTTGTCATGCAGAGTTTGAGGTACCTTTGAGACATTCATGTGTGAAAGGCAAGTAGGCATTCAGATAGATGAATCTGGAGTACTGAGAGAGATCTGAATGTGGGGCCAATGGCAAATAGTTATTGAAATTATAAGTGTGGATAACAGAGTAGGAACAGTGAGGGGAAAAGGGATCTAAGTAACCACGCTTTGAGGCCCTCCTGCTGTTAAAAGCCAGATAGAGAAGGAGGCATTGGGAAAGTGATGAGGAGGAATGGTCAGAGGAAGAGAGTAGAGTTTCTTGTGGAATATCAGAGACTATAAAGAGAGGGAGAGAGCTTTTGGTTCATTTTGTGTTGTTGTTGGTTTTTAAAATTTGTCTTTCTGTTTATTTTTTAAGAGGATGTGAGGCCAAATAAAAAGTAAAAATTGCCCATTGGACTTAGTAAAATGTAATTATTTTAGGGGACTTTTAGGAAACTCAGTTCAAACCATGATAGACTTTTTTTTTTTTCTTTTTTAGAGTTTCATTTTTTGAGTTCTTATAGTATATCAGCATCCTATGTATCCTTTTGACATAAAATAAGCCACTTAGTAACTAAGCTTGTTTTTCTCCTTTCTAGTCTATAAGTTTCTTTTTTTTTTTTTTGCATATACTTATACATGACAGTAGAATGTATTTTGACATATACATACATGTAACATAACTTCCCATTCTTGTGGTTGTACATGATGAGGGTTTCACTGGTTGCATATTCATATATGGACATAGAAAAGTTATATTGGATTCATTCTACTGTCTTTCCCATTCTCATCCTCCCCCCGCCCCTTCCAATTTGGTGAAACCACACACACACACACACACACACACACACACATCCTGTTGTGAGTCAGCATCCACATATCAGAGAGAACATTCAATCTTGGGGAGATTAGCTTATTTCACCTAACATGATAGTCTCCAGTTCCATCCATTTACTGGCAAGTGCCATAATTTTATGCTTCTTTATGGCTGAGTTGTGTATACGTACCACCTTTTCTTTATCCATTTATCTGTTGAAGGGTACCTAGTTGGTTCCATAGCTTAGCTGTTATAAGTTTCTTAAGGATAGATTTCTATATGTCTTGGGACATGTCATTTGCTTAATAAAAATGTGATTTAATCAGAATCATGAGACTGCTACTGCTGCCATTTGTAGTGTCCTTGCCCAAGATTAGCTATCCTGACTGCGGGGAGAGAGGCATTCAGTTCATCCTGCAGCTGGTAACAACTCACAGTCCAGCACAAGTCTGACACATAGTAATAGGGTAACATCTGATAAGTAATAGGGTAACATCTCTGATAAGAACTTTATATCTGTTATTGTATTTAATTCCCCAACAACCCTGTAGCTACATACTAGTAGTCTTGAGGTTTGGGGTAGGCCAATAACTAGTGTTCCTTTCTTCTTAGTTTGGAACAAGTTCAGAAATAAGTTAGATGGTAGATAAATGAAGATAAGAATATTTGCTTTATGACTGACAACTGATAAGCAAATGTGGCTTAAATTCTGTGACTAAAAGAGCTGACTATAACTGAAAGGGCTTTATATATTTGCTTTTGATCTGAATCTTTTTCTCCTCAAATAACAAAATGAATGAAAATGAGACTGTCCTTTCAAGAGCAAAAAATCTGATCTTCCAAGCCAAAATCAGAGTTTGCAAATGTGTTGTAGATAGTCTATTCTTGATTGGAGAGAATCTAGAAAGAACTAAGCTATTCATGTCCAGTTTCATCTCCAAAACAACCATGTATGTCATCTGCCATTCCTGGGAAGGAGTAAGTGAAGGCATCTGAGAACTGGAAATGTTCCTTTCATGACTTCCTCTCCTAGGACATGAGTAGACAGTTTTTCTCCTGACTGGAGATGTGGGAATACAGAGTAAAATGTTTCCCTCTAGCAGTGATAACAATAGCTAATATTTAGTGAATGTCTGTGTGCCAGGCACTATTCTAAACACTTTGTATATCTTTACCTCATTTAAACTTCACAATTGTACTTTTATAGAAAGGAAAATTGGTACAGAGAAGTTATAATAACTTTTCTAAGATTCTATAGCAACTAAATAGCAGAGTTGGCATTTAAAACCAGACTGTGAGTAAATGTCTGTTGAATATGTGGTTGTGATAAGTGGTGTATTCTATTCTGTGGTTCTTCAGTTAGCCAGTTGAGAAGTCCAGCCCATCTTGTGCCTTTATCAACTTGACACATAAACCTTAAAAAAGCACTTTTTTTTTTCTTTTAAAAGAAAGCCACAGGCAGGGTTTGCAGTCAAGATGGCATTGCATAAATATATCCGTTGAGACCCTCCTCTGCATCAGACAAAAAAGCAATAATTGATCAAAGCTGAGAAATTTAAAGAGACTTACCTTGATAAAATAAACAAATTAAAAACAAGATACTAGCCATCTCTGGAACAGAATGGAATAGAAGCATGAAGATGTAGGCAGAGTTGGCTGGAAGATGAGCTTCACAGGGCGAAAAGAACCCTGAAAGCTGAGGTAGACTTCTCTCTGTTACAGAAGGAGGCTGCAGGTGACAAATAGAGAAACTGCAGAACTTTAGGGGTAATCTAATTAGAAGGGGATTTTTTTTTTTTCTTTGTACCAGGGATTGAACTCAGGGACACTTGACCACTGAGCCACATCCCCAGCCATATTTTGTATTTTATTTAGAGACAGGGTCTCACTGAGTTGCTTAGTACCTTGCTTTTGATGAGGCTGGCTTTGAACTCAGGATCCTCCTGCTTTAGCCTCCACGCCTCTGGGATTACAGGTGTGCACTACTGCACCTACCTAGAAGGGGAAATTTTAAAAGCAATGGGAGAGGAAGGAAATATTACCTATGAATTAATAGCAGACTTCTCTTTAGCAATAGTAGATGCCAGAAGAAATATATCTTCACAGCACTGTTAACCGCTAGTATATAAATCTGTTTCTAGTGAGCTTACAGTCTGGAGTGACAGTTCACTCAATATGTGAACACAAATATGTGTTCAAAGATAGGGACTTACCTCCCTGTAGACTTTTTACCTATAGCGAATGATGCAAATAGAAAAATGGGAGGATGTGGGATGAAAGCAAATAGCAAGGGTATAAAAATGGTTAACACATTAGTGAATATAATTAACTACTGACCATAAGCTAACAAAACAAAAGGCAATTTTTGGTAGGTGTGTTTTAAGATAAAACAGACCATTGTTATTAGAAATGTAGGCTGT